ACTTTGATTTACATAGGAATACAGCTTAACGGTTCTCATCAAATTCTATATCACGTCATGTCGTAGAAAAAGTGAAAATATTTGNATACTGTTAAGCATATGTATGTAAAAGATATTGTATAATGCATATATTTAAATACACACACACATCATGTACACTTTGATTTACATAGGAATACAGCTTAACGGTTCTCATCAAATTCTATATCACGTCATGTCGTAGAAAAAGTGAAAATATTTGAAGTTGTACAGCACAGCAGAAAAGATGCAGAAATACACAAAAATTGTGTTTTATTAAAAACTGCTATCTTACGCAACAACTCCTTTTCATGATATCGCTCTAAAAGAAAGCGTTTGCATCACTGTTTTTTTACCTCTTCTTCATTATGCATTTTCGTGTTGCAAATCTGAAACTCTGAGTTATAAATTATAAAATTGCGGTGTTTTCAATGAAATAAATAGTTTTACGTTTAGTAAGCAGTTTAAAAAATTAGTTAAGTTTATGCTAATGCTAGCTGTTGTGCAAGTAAAGTTTACGCCTCGACTAAAGTTTGGTATACAGAATTGGCTAGTTGAAAATTTTCCAAATAAAAAAGCTTTCGACCACTGCATTTGATCCAGTGAAACGTATTTTTAAGTAATTGGATACAATGCCTTTTAGTGCCCAGTGCATTTGCATAACAACCCACCACATTTAACTTTGTTTTTGGTACTTTATCCAGCCAGGTATACATAACTTTTATTTGCAAGTAAGGAAAACCTAATGTTTTCTTTTTCAGTGTTTTTGTTGCACGGTCAACCGCTTTTCTACCTCCAAGTTTGACCCCGAGAGCCACAATGACCGGTGAAAATTTTATGGAGAAAATGTTGCGGTCATCGTCAACCTCGCAATTGCCGGAAAGAGTTAAACAACTTTTATTCAAATGCCGAATGCATTTCCGCATTAAGGATTTAAATAAATCCTCAAATAACTGAGATGTGGTAACCAACAACATTTAGAACCCTTAATTATAAAATATTATTTTTAATTAGATCTACTCAAAACGATGGAAAATCTTTATTTCGTTTAGCTGAATTCCTTTTTACAAGCTTTTATTTAACTTGCTCATCCCGCGGAAAAATCTAATCGATTTTATTTTTTCCTTGTAAGAAACAAGAATATCCAAAAAAGTCAGCATTGAGTTATGGTGCATTTACATGGTATGAAGCCATATGAACTGCTGATACGCTAAAATAGAGGGACTACATGTTCTAATGAGGAATTCAATGATATGGAGTGGGATGCATATAATACATTTTTTCATGTGAAAAATTATGGGGAGATACTGTAAACATACTGTTGAGATACTGTTAAGCATATGAAATTATAGCAAGTTGGATTTTCATACATCTTCTCATAGAAAGATAGAAGATACCAAGGAGCTTTTTTCCATTTTGATGCCTTTTTTAACATAAAACCCACCGAAGAGGAGGAAAGCGGCAACTCCGCCATTCACATACATGTCAAAAGTAGGAATTTTAAAAATTAAAAACAATAAACAAACAATTTCAAAACAAAAAAATTCTTTGTACTAGATCTTTTTCAATAGAAGCAACTCACGTATGGTGGACAATAAAAATATAAAGCACTATGATAACAAGACATTACAAAAATATTAATGAGCTTTATATCACATTTAAGTAAAAATAAGCCTATATTTGTCAAGCTGGCAAAGAAATGGAAATGTGTATTTTTTGTTGTTTACAAAAAGACTTGTCAAATATACATACGGTGACCATATTAACCAACGTGCAATAAAGGACTTTTTTTAAAATGATTTGGTATTACGTACATACAACTTGTATGATAAAAGTACCTTGCCCCTATCATAGTTTAAATCAAATATTTACCAGTTAATTTTATTATTTATTTGTATAAGTTCCCGTGCTGTAGCGAAAAAAGAAGCCAAATCCTTTTCAAGGACTTCACCAGGACACAGTGGTGCGAAATTGGAATTTAATGTTCATAATCCACCGGAGCCTACAATTTTCAACCAAGTTTTACTAAACACCAAAAAAAAAAATATTTACTTTTGGTGAACATTTTTTTATAATATTTCGGACTTATTTGTGTATTTTTTTGTTTTGGGAGAACCATACAATTGTTTTCAACTAGTTTTTGTTATGTAACATTTATTAACTGGAACAGGAGAACACATTTTCTTGAAAATTGCTACTTTTTCTGCATTTTGCACTACAAAATTTAATATAATAAAATAAAACTTCAGATATCAGGCTCAACTGGTCTCTTGCAAATATTGTAAGCTTTCATAAAAAAAAATTAATCAAATTAAGTGAAAAATTAAGGCTCCAGTAAATTTCGAACACTAAATGCCAGTTTTTAACCACTGTGCAGCAGCGGGTTTATTGTTCTTTTTCAGTAGAACTGAAAACTCGGCATGCAACACGATCCTGAGCACAGCTTTCCCTATGCTTTATAGATTGTAAATACAAAGATTAGCGTTTAAACAGAAAACCTTAATCATTATATTTTATATGGGTAATTTTTATTTTTGATATTCTGCATTTAAAAATTTACCTCTGAAAAGTGCAGAGCCGATTTAAAGGACAGTTTATGAAATAAAGGACAAAAGGCGTCCTTTATTTTGAAATAAATTATAAAGGAGAGCGGGTTAAAATAAAGGACTGTCCTTTAACATAACGGACGGATGGTCACCGTAAATATACATATAAGTCAAAATTATAGAAGGCATGTATACTTCTCCCTTTCATTTTTTCATACAGTTGATGCTTCTTTCTGGTATTTACAAAATGCACACTTATTTCGGTACAATATGATCGTAATGCATTTTCAATTCGAAATTGCCATTGTAGAACAATAAGTGCATATTTGCAAACTAATGCAAAGAATGGAGTGTCATATCTTAAATGGTTAGGAGAATGAACGAAACAAACAAATATTTTATGGTCTTATGTTTCCTTCAAACCCCATTGCTACTTTTTCCTACTCTTCCTTTTGTTTAGCGCTGTAACCGCTTAAGTTATATTTTTTATGATGTATTATGAAACGAATTTCCGTCATCCCTTGTCAAATTTGGTATAACCAAAAAGGTTATATTTTTAAATTTATATATGTGAGTTATTTTGAATGAGCATTTCTTCATTTGCTTCTGAATTTTGGGTACATTTTCTTATACTACCTCTCATTCTTTTTGATATTACATACATATATACACTCCGATGTTCGCGGTCGCACCTCTGTTGGTAATAGTAACCTCCGAGCGTATTTTGTCATGGAAACAGCTTCTCATAAAGATACAATTGGCGTTCGGAGTCGGCGTAAAACTGTCATTTACTTTGTGTGACAAAATCACGCACGCCACATATGGGAGGAGAAGCTAGGACAAACACTAACCTAACATATTGTGTAAGCGCCAATATGTATATCGTCGTTTAAAGTACAAAAGCGCGTATCGTGGTTCTGCAAAACCTCGAAACTGAAATTTGTGCCAAACAAGATATTTGGTCGCCGGAAGCTGCCGGCATCAAGCCCTTAGCCATTTATAATAAAATATCGATACTTAGACATAAGGAGAAGAGATAATTAAGTTTAAAAGAGAGAACCGTATTTAATTAGGACAAGTTTTACTCTCTACTATAAAATTTAGGCAACCTCACATACGAGGTTTTGCAATTTCTGGATGCGCGGTTTTGTACTTTAAACGACGATATGTAGAAGTATTGCATACATATTTTGGTGCCTTTTCAAGTATAAAATCCATTGAGAAACGGAAGAAAACGGCATCCCTATAATTTCAACTTATGCCAAACGTTTCGTAAACAAGCAATTCTGAATAAAAAATTGTTTTTCCACAAAGATGTTTAAATGGAAGCATTACAAATATGCAAAAATAGCAATCCACCAGGCTTTATTGGCAGTAGGTCCTTTTTAAAGCACATTTAACAAAAAAATAAGCTTCTAGTTTCGAAGCGAGCACAAAATACAATTTTTTTATTTGTTGTTTACAAAAAATACTTGCCAAGTATATAAGTCAAAATTGTTAAATATATATCGCTTTCATTAATTTTTTCATAGAGTTGGTGCTTCTTTTATAGGAAAATTCATACGGCTTATGAACAGATTCATACCATGTAAATGCACCATTAGTTTTCGAAATTAATAAAGGTACAAAAATACTTTAAACTTCCATATTATTGTAAAAATAGTACGAGAAACGGAGTAAAACGGGCCAAAATTTTTCCCCATTTTTTACTACCTTAAAATGCGTTGCCGGAATATGCGTACCGAAAAAGTGAGATTAATGGCTGTATTCGGTAACTCAGTCTCATCTCAAGTCACTAAATTTGAGACTATCAATTTGTGATTTTTTTTGCGACTTGAGACAATTTTGGTATTCAGTAAGAGAGAGTCACAAAAATTTCACCAAAAATGTGTGGTGAATACAAACAGAGACAATCAGCTGATAGCATGTTCCAATTGGGATGATAAAATAGTTCAACAAATATTCATTTATCGATTACATAAAAAAATAGGTTTTTAAACGCATTTTTAAAGCAAAATCGTACATTAGAAATATAAAGAATATGATAACTACAAAGAATTTATAAGAAAATGTTTAGACATTTGGTTTTATAGGCAATTTATCTGAATCGATTTTCTGGGAGAATATATAAAGGCCAGAAAAGTGAGCAATCGATTAATGCCGTATTCATCACTATGTGCATTCAACTAAAATGGCCGATGAAGGTAAGTAATTGTACATAAATTTAGTTTTTCTTATTTTGTTCAATTTCTTTGAAAATAAGGTATTTTTATTTTACAGATACAGAAAAGACAACGCGCACAAGCAAGGAGCAAATAGAGTGCTACCTGGCGTTTATGCGGAGCCACCCTGAGTTGCAGCTCAACAAAAATGACCCGACGCGGCCAAAAAGGATACAGGAGCTGTGGATAGAGCTAGCAGAGCAACTTAACGCTCTTAAAGGGCCGATACGCACTCCGAATAAATGGAAAGAGGTAAATCTTA